CAAAGTGTTTGCCAAAGAAAAAGACTATCGACATTTAAAATGGTGACAGCTAATATTAGCTCAGAGAAAGCATTATATATTAGCTATATTTCATATCAAACATAATATCTGATCTTTACCATTTATTAATTCTGGTGGTGTATGTGAAGTGGAGAGTGGCTGAACTGTTCTTTTCTATTTCAGAATAGTCCTGCCAAGATACAGGCAAAACACCAGACAGAGATATTTGCACAACCAAGGTCAAACATTTGATAATGTAATATCTTGTTTGTTCTTTTCAAACTCATGTTTCATACTGTGGGAAAGCAGGTGTCAATAGTATCCAAACTGTCAGAAAAATCTTACAGAGAAAAATTAATAATAAGATTTGGCCAATAAGGAGTTCTGATAACAGGCAACAATGGAATTATCAAAAATATAACATCATTACAGCTAATACAGAGCTACAATCTAAATCCAAGAATCTAGTTTTATTGATTGATTGACATGTGAGGAACTGCCATTCTGCTTTCCAGGGTGCAGAAGGACAAATTAGCATTTACACTACAACTGCGATGACATTTTTCAAAATATCTTCTTTTATGCTTCTCAGAAGCAAGTAAGTCATACAAACAAGTGATGGATCATGGAACGACATGAAGGTGAATAAATTATGGCAGAATTTTAATTTTTGAGTCAACTATTCCTTTATGACCTGATGTAAACAGATTCATAGGATGTTTTCACACCTAATTCAGTTCAGGGGTCACCTTTGACTTATAAGGCAAAATGCAATAACATCACATTCACATAATAAATATAATGGGCTTCTGTATTTAAGATAGGTTAAACACTTCAAACAGGCCGGAGGAATAAAAGCACAATCGACTTTTGTGTAAATCTGCTTTCTGACCAAAAAGCCATTTTAAAAACCCTTCTGTTATACTGTGTCAATTCCCTCCAAGGACAAGAGAACAGGGAAAGAAACGGTCTCAAAGGATTTTAATCTCAAAAGCTGTTTTGTCCCATCCACACTGTGATAGCATGAACCCAAACAATAGTTGCCATTTGCTGGAGTGTAACAAAAAAGTCACAGACTTTTTCTGCCAGACAGATCTGCAAGAGAGAAGACACTTAAGCTGAGTTTGATTCGAGCTCTCACATGAAATAGTGAATCAAAAAGTGTTTATAGATTTCTTTGATAACTTGCTGTATATATCTTTGAAAACCTTCTATACAAATCACTTTTTGTTTTTGAGCTTGACATTTTTTCGACATCTGATTTTAACCTCTGTTGAGTTTTGATGATGTTTAGCTCGACCAGCTGTTTGTCTTCATTTGCTTGTGCCCTGATGCTGTGGGCTTTGTTGCCACCTCCACTGGTCCTGGCCTGCCAAGGAGATGAATTACCGCATGACATGGTGCTTGGCTGGCTGAAAAGACGGATCCTTGAAGGTTTGGGAATGGATGAGCCTCCTCTGCCAGTGCTGCAGCTACCAACACAGCAAGCAGTGGACAAAGTTGTGCATCATGTAGCTTCACGAATGACTAGGGAGACAAGAGTGGAAAGAAGACACCATCAGGAGTCCTCACAGGTCATTCTGTTCCCAAGCTCAGGTGAGCTTGTTTCCTGTCCAGTAGCTAAATGAAAAACAATAGTGTCTAACATGATGATATTTGGTAAGATTCTCTGCTCCTTGTGGCCTGGGTCAATGATGTGATGATTATGTATTAATTTATGCATAATACTTTTTGAAGTGGAATTCATACAATGACATTAATACACATATTCTAATGCACATTCTAAAAGCATGCTTTTAAGTTCTGAATTAACTCGCTGTGTTTTTTTTGTTTTTTGGGGGGGGGGGGGGGG